AGTTTAACTTAGTGTCTCTCATCTACAGGAAGATCTAGGTTGAAGATCCTCTGCTGACAGTTTAAATTCTCATGCTTTAATCTGTGCATGTTGATGTGTTATATAAATACATATATTTAATAAAAAAACCCCTCATCCTGCCCTGGTAGCACCTAAGTGGACTTGATTCTAGTAAAAAATATTATTCCCAATAGATATTCTGAATACTATTAGGCTTCCAGATGCCCAACATGAACTATTTGTGTGCTTTTAGTGGAAGAGAACTCAAGAAATATTAGCAGCTTGTCTTGGAACCTAATGCTGCCAGTAAGTCAGGACAAAGCATGCAAGGAAATACCTGTAACTGTACAGTTGAAGAAGGGAAGCAAAACAGTGTAAACACTACTTCATTCAACATTTTTGTCTACTGTGCTTAACAAGGTTTGGGTGTGAACCTATTAAACAGAGTCCACTTCCAAATATGATGGAAATGTGACCATAACAGAACTTTCCTTGACATTTTTAGACGTTAAAAATTTGTTGCTCACTGAGACACAAAATGTGTTCAGCTGTGAGGTAAGATAAATAATGCACTGTTGAGCTGTCCGTGCCCACCAAGCATGCAGCGCTACACAGGGTCATGGGGTGGCAGTGCTGCCAGCATTTTAATTGGTAAATGGCATCTGGGAAGTTTGCTCAGTAATCGGAGCATGGAAGCGATTTTCAATAGGCAATGTTGAGCATTATCATTTCACTTCATCTGGCATCACCTTCACAATTCATCCAATACATGCTCACAGATGGTGCTGCAATGGTCGAACAGCACAGGTCTAGCCCTCCAGAGGCGGCCATGGTTGGGTGGTGGCTACAGACACCAACACGAGGTGCTTGGGTAGAAGAGCCCTGTCATGAAGGCAGCTTTGGAAGAAGGCAAAGGGGTGGCAAAATGAGAGGGTTTCCAGCCTTTCAGAGCAGCCTGTTGCAGGCGAGAAGAGAGGGACAGAGTTGCAGCACCAGTGAAGTGCTTCAGTCCCCACATTGAGGTGTTTCAGGCCACAAGATGCAAGTTAAGTGCTTTTCCTGCCTGCTAGGGCAGCAGCAGGACATGCTTCTCATGCAGTTACTTCTCGAGCAGAAGACAGTAGCTTTCTGCTCCATGCCACTCACCCCATCCACTCTTACCCATTTGGCTTGTTCTGTCTGGGGTAGCACAAGGATGATTGCAGTGCTCTACTTCTGAGACAACTGGCAGCTACTGCAATTACAGTGGGGGAAAGGGGATCCACACCACCGGCTGCAGTAGCAGCCTTTGCTTCAAAGCATTTGGCTGCCCTAGGGCAGGCTCTTAAGTTGAATTCAGTCTACAGGAGACCTAAAAAGCTTGTATGTACAGCTATCAAACTATACTTTACTCAAGATGCTTGTTCAAACCACCAACTACTTTAATGAATCACAGCAATTTAAAATCTTAAAATTGTGAGCGCTGATCTTTCTTATACCACAGGAACAGAATAATTACTGGAGCAGAAGCCTGCCTAGCAGCTGAGAACTGTAGCTCGGCTGGCCTAAGAACAAAGGAAAATAATATGCAGTATTCTTACTCTGAACATTGTCTGAAGCAGTCCTTTACAACACTGGATTTTCTGGTGGTGATCTTGCTTAAGGCTTAAGCACAGGCAAGGCTGATAATTGGTAGGATTTTTTGCTTAGGATGGCCATGTCTTGTGTGTATTTGTATTTCTCTCAGCGTACCATTCATGTACAGCTATTGGACTTCAATGTCTGTCAGACATGTCCATGGTAGCAGCTCCTTCAGTTTTTCCAACAACTTTTGTCTTAAAGAAAAGCACAACAGCACATACAGTTGCCTACAGCCATTTCCTGCCCAGACAGCTTTTCCAGTTGTTTTGGGGTGTTTTTTTACAAGCAGCTATGTTTTCCTGTGCCCCTCTGTAATTTGGTAAAAGATTGCCTTATTTTGGTCTTGGTTTGGGCTGAATTACTCCTGTTGAATCCTTGGGTTTAGTTACTATAAAATGTGTGTATGATACTGGTCAGTGCTTTTGTAATGGTGTATCAAAAGCTGAATGTAAGAATTGTAAACTTCTTCCTTATTCACTGAAAACAAAGGTCACACTTTCCTCAAGAAATCTGTCACAACCAGTATAAAGCAGTCTATCTTATGCAGTTTGCCAAAAGATTTCACATTTACTCTTCACCTCCACTCTTCCTCATCCTGTCAGTTAATGTTTCTATGTCTTAACCTGAGCTAGCATGAAAAAAAGAACTGCCTTAAGCATTGCTGGGGAAAAAAGCAGCGTATTGGGTGTTAACAGTCTGTGAGCTTTAAGCTACTCTTTACTTTGCTTTTGGCCTTCTTTTTCCCCTCAAATTTCTCAAGGAAATGACAAGATTTCTACACTTTTAAACATAAAGGCTGGAGACACATTCTTTGGTGAAGATGCCCCAAGAGAAACCTAGGAGAGTTGTGGAGGGAGGGAACAGACACAGATGGACATTAAGATTTTCCAGGGCAGATTCTTGAAAGTCCAGTGAAGGCTTTTGGCTGTGCCCCATTTCTTTCTGCATTAGTTAGGCTAAAACACAACTAACCCAAACCAGAAAGACTTGGCCTTAACAGTATTTTTAATAGCAGAAAATGTATTTAAATCAACCCATAATATATGGCAAGCCCTCTTACCTCTGCTCAGTCTTCCCAAACAAGGGAAGAAAGATTTAAAAAGATGTTCAGGCAGCAAAAGTATTAACTTTATATAGTTCATGTCATTAATTAGTTGATTTCCACTTCTTTTGGCAAAGGCCTTACTTTCAGTAGCTATTAAAATGGTTGGTTATCAGTTGTCATGCTTAAAAAGTGCTTGGTTTAGTCACAGTAGCTTGTCTAGGTGCACCAAAAATGCAATTCTAATGCTAAAGATCACAACAGTGAAACTAGACTGAAAAACATCCTTGATAATCTGAGATATCTTAAGAGAGATAGTGTATCTCACCAAAAATTCCACTTCATCTACAATTAGGATCAGCTCCTGATGAAGCAAAAATAAGCAAAAGCCTCATACAGGAACAGGCTATGTCTACAGTGACTCAGTCTCGAACATCAAATTCACAAGAATACACACATTGCCTAGAAGTACTGCAGCACTAGAGAGACAGTTCCATCAATTACTATGTTTAGTCTTCTATTGCACTACCTTTCAGAGGCCAGATGTTGTCTGTGTGAGAACAGCAAAAACAGCCACAAGAGCAGTGGGATGGGCTGCACATCTTCAGTGGGCTAGTTTCAACCTTCCCATAGCCCTGAGGAAAGCATGTAAATACCAGTCCTTTTACAGGTGCTGCTTTCCACTACTACATGCTTATCCCTGTAAACTACCTCTTTGACTTCTAGGCTAGAAAATGTAGAGCTGAGTTTTAAAGAAATGAAACTTCTTCCTTACATTATTTCTGCCGTACCTAAATTAATTTTTAAATTCTGTACGAATTTCCAATAATGACAAAAGTAATGCAAAACTATGGGTCAAGTTCTCACTTGTCCATTTGCTTTTTGGACTCACAACAACATGTATTAGGTACTAAGGGTCCTCTTGCAGTCATACCTATTTTCCAGCTTGAAAGTAAAGCAACTTATTCTCAGACTATTTCAAGTTTAATTTTTTTAATCTGAGTTTCTGCTGTGTTGCACAGCTGTAGTTTTGAATGCTATCCCATATTAAGATAGAATGCTTTTTTACAAGCTACGTTACTTATGTTTGTAATCCAAAGAAGTCCTGTCACTTTGAATGTTAGTGACCAATACCCTTCTGTGCCACCACCCCCTTTCCCTTCCTCCCCCACCTCAAGTTATTTTGGCCAAAATTTAATGCAGGACATGAAATAGCACTGAAACCAAAAAGAGTTGTGCAAACACCTGGAACAGCTCTCTCACTTTCAGTATAAAATTTGTTTCTTCTCTGTCACTCCAAGGGTTTTTGTACTGTGATGTTGGAACAAATGGATGAGGACAATAGAGAGAGTCCTACTGCAGTATTGGAAATTAGCTCCTGCAAAGTAGCTAATATGCTACAGGAAATCCTGTAGTCACACAGAATCCACACCTTTTTCACCCCACAAATGTCTAACACTACTTCACAAACACTAGACATGCCACTTGAAATGCACCCACCTTCACTCAGACTGAGAACTTTGAATGGCATTACTGGCCAACAGGAAGATATTACTGTAATTTTATTCAGACATCAAACTACTTCCACCTGCATTCCTTCTTCAGGCTTGAGGTTTTGCTCTAGCAGTTCTGTCCACCACACAAACCCATCTACCTTGATCAGAGGAGTTTGCAACATCAAGTGCTTTCAGAAAGAAGCTGCTAAAGCATCCAGCTACATACACCGTAGAAGTGCTGCTGAATTGGTGCACTGAGGTCATGCAAAGATGAGACACCTAAACACCTAACCTCTTAAAATTTCTAGAGCTTCAAATTCTGCAAGGCCCAGATAGTCTCCCCTCCCCATTGAGACCCCAGGCAAAAAAAAAGGGGTCAGTGAGCTGCACTGCACTTTAATTGCACCAATACAGTTAAATATTAAATGAAGAAAGCAACTCTACATAGCAAATGAAAAACAAGCATTTACATAGTAAATCTGTAAGATGTACAGACTATTTAGTTTTAACCCAGTTGTCTATACATGAACACCCCTTTGCAGTTTTTGGTGTTATTAAATGGAAAACAAAACAAACATTTTCAGGTTCATGAAGAATTGGCAAGTTATGAAGAAACAGGTTTTCTTCCCTCATAAGCCAACAGAGGGAGGTGAGGGCAGGAGAGGACACCCTAGGCTTTTTCATACCACAAGAAATGCATTGGCCATCACTCCATCTACTAGCATGGGTAGAATTGAACACCACTTTTCTGAGTACACTCAATTTCCTCCCCATACACCCCAAAGGGGCATATCCTGTTACCCTGCCAGGGTAGTTACTCAAGGGGAGTTAATACTACTGAATTAGACACTGATCAGTTGGGGAAAGAGAGCATGGTCAGTGTCAAGTGGAGAGGACATATCACTGAAGGGTGATGGGGATCCTTCATATCCAGAGTCACTACAGGCATCCAACAGATAGCTTGAAGCTGCAAGGCTATGATGAGAGGAAAGCAGTTGAGAGATGCCCAGTTCAGGCATGAAGCTGTCTACAGGTTCCTCTTTCACAGATACTGGGACCTCAGGGGTATCTTTGTCTTCAGATGGAGAGAGAGATACTTCCTCAATTTTCACTAGCATATTGGTTTGGTTGCCCACTTTAACAGGAATCCCCAGTATTAGGGGCTTTGTGTACACATGATCAAACCTTATCAGTTCATTAATGGCCTCCAGCTTAGCTGATGGGGACCCCAAAGAGGGAGAGGGGGAGGTTGATACGGAATTTGTTTCTCCACAGATTTCTTCCTCCAGCTTTTCCAGGCACATTGACTCTGAATCAGCATATTCGAGAAACATCTCTGGGTCCAGACTGTCCAGAAAGCCCAATAGGAGATCAGACTGCAGAATGAAATACTGTTTTAAAAAGACAACCTGCTACAGTTACAGCAAAAATCAATTGTGGCATCTATCATCCCTCATCTATAAGTTAAAATATGCTGACATGATCATAGAACATGGGAAGTTTTATCAAGAACACCACTATATGAACAATTAAGGCAATTACTCATCATTGATAAATTCTTTGTCTATTAACTTTTTTGTAAGGTTACTGGCAATCCCCATAGAATTCTATACGCATTTGATATTCACAGTCTCTATCAAAACCTCCTCAAGATCTTGGATCCATCAGGTACAAAGACCACACTACCTGCTGGTTCCACAGAGCAAGGACCAGAACCTGGCTTAGGCAGACCTACCCATAACCAAAGTCAGGGAGTTTTGGTTTGTTTGTTTATCGTTTATTTGGTTTGTGGTTCTTTGTTTTGTTTATTTTTTTTTTAAATAAAGGTGGAAGATGCTTGTCCTTACATTTCTGGAAGTCATTCATAAGGGACAGGCTTTAAGTTTGAACAGCTTTGCTAAGTGCCAGCACAGCAGCAAAATAATCAAGTTTGTTTTCAACAACAATAAAAGCACAGTATGCTTTTGGTATTTGTACACTTCTGCTGTAAGAGCTAAAAGTGTTTCAGGCAATATCCTCTAGGATTTTATGGAAACTGGACTTGAACAAGTTGCATGGACTCCAGTACTCACTGGATACAGCCTAGCAGAGTTGTTTTGAGCCACAGGTATGGCATTCCAAGGCGTGGAAAACAAGCCAGCGATGGAAAGCCATCAAATGATTTTACATCAAGAAGTTACGACACTAGTCTTAAATTCACAGTGGTTCTGAATTTCATGCACATTGTTGGATAGGGATGGATGCTCACCTCTGAGTCTGAAGAGTCACTGCCATCAGAATCCATGTGGAAGTTATCAGAAATAGTGACTGCTGGGCCTGCACCTGCTGCAGAGGAACACGTAGTCTGAGTGCTGCGGACTCAGCGGACCCGGTCACCAATCTAATCTCATCCACCTGAGATTCCTTCACAACCTGTGCCAAGGAAAAAATCCAGTCACCACAAGTGTTCTGGCAGACAGTACAGTACATAATCCTGAAGATCATGCTCTTCCTGCAAAGTCTTCAACATTAGATTCTCCACTTGCTTGTGCGGTAGAAACTTGAAGCTAAAACCACTTCCAAAGTTGGCACAAGCTTCCATATGTTTGCAGATTTATTTTGTCCGCCACTTTTAAATGACAGCCTCACCCGCTCCGCTCTACCCCCTGTTCTTTTCAGACAGGCACACATAGCAGCTTCAGCCCCAGAGCTCTTCACACCGGGGCTACTCCTCCCCACCCACCGCCACGCAGTTGCCTCTAGGAACACGGCGGCTCTTGGCAGGCTCTCCGAAGAAGGAGACAAGGCACCAGCACGGCTGACGGCTCACCTTGGACTCGCTCTCCTCCTCTGTCTTCAGAGCATCCAAACCCAGGCGGCAGCGAAGCTCCTGGTTCTCCAGAGCAAGGTTACAGGTCTTCTCCCGCAGGAGCTGGTTTTCCAGCAGCAGCTTCTGGTTCTGCAGAGAACCGTGAGGCAGGGAGGCCTCAGCGCCGGCCACG